GTGATTTTGAGATATGCAGGGTGTATAGTGACGTGTGGCATCATCCCATTCGCTTGTTTGAAATTGGGCGCGTGTTTGGTAGTCAGATTCACTTTATGCATTTTATTATTTTTGTTTCATATAATAACCAACTGAACCAAGTGGCCCAGTGGTGGCCAGGGAAGCGTTAAGGCATTTGAGGGCATGAGGTCAGGGGTTCGACCCCTGCCTCCAGCATTTGCATTTTTCTTGAGTTTCTCTTACAGATTCAATGTCCTACAAGGCGTGGAGATCATCATGGATCATCATCTCCTAACCATCAGATTATCAACCATTCATATCTGAAGGCCATGGCATGAGGGTCCACCAAAAGCTCAGTCAACGTATAGCACTGGAACGTGAAAGTCAACATGGGTCAGATTTGTTTGGGCCCAGAAAATTGTTGTTCACACCCTCCACAATACCAAGCAGGCCCAACTTTCTCTTCCTTTTCTTTTATATTTCTTTAATTTGTTTATTTATTTATTTTTACTAACATCAAAATTAATTTCCTTTTTTAATAAAATCACAAAAATATATTTTCATCCAATTAGATTTAAAATTTATTTTTTATACAAAAGTTAACTGAATTAGGTTATTTAATGTTAGGTAACTTTAATTATTTTGTAAATAAATTAAAATTAATTAGAACAATTAGGGTTTTCGTTTCTAACTTAATTCTATTTTCTTTTTTCTTAAAAATAACCAAAATATAAAAATAGGTCATGTAAATTATTTTCTTAAATTAATTTAATTACTAATTAATTTTGTATTTAATTTAAAAACCTAACTCTTTTTTCTTAAAAATAATTAAAAACAACAAAAATAATTTCTCTTTCGATTAGGTTAGGCGGGGTTAAAATCCTAGTTCTCTCTCGTTCTCGATTCATCGCGTTTATTTATTTTTACCATATTAATGTAATTGCTCACAAGTTGTAATAGATTAATTAGGATTTTTCTCCTTTTCATTTATCGTTTTGACGGGTTGTTTTTGGCTATGTAAATTAATACCCGAAGCCTTGTAATAGCTTAGCTTTATTTTTCCCACTTTAATTCTTGCAAAATATTAACTGTTAGATGTATGATAATAGGGATTGCATGACAAGAATGTATGATTAACTTTAAAACGGTTAGCTAACCCTAAATGTGTAAAGATAATAAACTTGAAATTGAATCACTCGCACATGCGCACTCCTATGGTATACTCTCACCTCGGTTGCCTTCGGTAAACGGTCATTAAGTATAGGATAATTTAGTGGTCGCTCTCTTGTCTAAACAAAGGTCAAAGTCCCATTCAGAAAAGTTGCCTCAGAAAGTTTGCCTCGGATACGTTGCCTCGAATATTGATCTTAAGACGTTAGAGTTATTACTAAGACGCCCTAACATTGCTTCAGTGATTGTACGTCCCTTTTCGAATTGACCCTTAAAACTCCAACGATGGTGCTACCTACTCACTAATAGTGGGATAGCACTGTCTAAAGGAAACAAGAATAGAAACATTCTCTTTTTCGAGTAGGTAGATTAGCTCTTTAGTACTTGTTCAAAAAAATAAACTTTTTCACACTTACACTCTTTTCAAACAAAGTTTTCAAAACGACTTCGTAACACTCTTGAAGACAGAAGCAAGGGTTAAATCGAAGTAAAACAAAAACTTTTCAAATCAAACACGCTCAAGCAATTTTGAAAATGATGAGCAAGTACCTAAGAGCCCGTGGAAAACCACTGATAGAAATGGTGATAATACGTTCCCTTTCTATAATCTACCCCCTGTACTCAAAATCTCGAAAAATGGAATTTTTCTGTGCTTTTGTCCTTTCCAGTTGGATAAAATAAAAGTCGATGGAGACTCTTGCTTACCGCGACATTTTGCAAACACAAACGCAAAACGCAAACCAGCATTTCAAAACAGTCTGGTTCTGGCCACCGTATCACACCTTTCTATGGATATGGCGTCAAGCCCTTTCAATCTCCTCCTTATCTGCTTTGTGATCTTTTCCTTCTTGGAGAAAGAAACCACTCAGATAAATGTTATTTGGCTTATCATTCATTGTGTATCCAAACTGGCGGTGCGCAAGGACATGATTGTAGTTAATTCCTCCCCTCGTACCAAGAAGAGGCACGTTGGTAAAAACACCATAGCTAACAATGATCTTCACATCATAATAAGCTTGATTGTACCAATCTATGTCGGAATGAGTAAGAGCCATAATTTTTGCCGCCCATCGTGGCTCTTTCTTGAGATCCCAAAAAACATCAGACTCGGGTAAATGGGAAACATACCACTAGGGTAAAAATGGTGTATAACAGATACTCATCCCAACTTGGTAGGAATTTCAAAGATGGATGGAATAAAAGGTAGGGACTGGATTTCCAATAAAAAATATTCTAATGGCATTGACATCCACGAACTTATCGATGTTAGAGAACAAGAACAACCCATAAGTAAGTAAAGCAAAGACAACTTTAAAGGCGACAATATCCTTTATCTCGGCGAAGTAACGAGCTTTCTTCAACAAAAATTGTGCAGGTAAACCTCAGATTCCTCCCTTGGTAGTCATGTTATCTTCTATCTTAGACTTCCTCAAGTGGGTAACGGTTGCTATCTCATGAGATTTGGGTTCCCCTTCTAAACAGGAGAAAGGAACATATTCGGTGATTGGTAAACCAAGTATATAAGAATACTCTTCGAAAGTGAGCATCAACTGGTAATAAGGAAAAGTGAAGCATCGATACAATGGATCATAGAACTGGACCAACGTAGTAAGGATACCTTCCTTCATCATGCGCTTCATGAGAGGAATAATAGATCCATACTTCTTCTGGAAATCCCTAGGGTTCTCAATCTTGGGAATCAAACTCTTCAACTCTTCAATCTCAGGATCCTTGAAACTATAACTCCAAGTGTTTCTTTTTCCAAAATCCATAGTAAAAGTACCTGAGATGTCTGCAAAAATCATTTTTAAGTTCCTTGAAAAACATGTTTAAAGAATGTTATGGATGCATGAATGAATGATAGTGCAACAATTACACATAAGCTCACAAACATGGGGTTCAAAGGTTCAACGCTACGAGTATGGGGTAAAAGGTAAAGATCACCCCCAAGGTATGTACTAAAGGTTTAATTACACCTATAAAACAAGGTTCTAAAAGTTCCCAGAGTCTCGATCCTCCTTCGGATATTACCAACATCTCGATTACTCGATAATTAGCAATATTCTCAAGAGAAACTCGTCTGAGTGTAGCATCGCATTACAACTACTTCCGGATTACTCCATTATAGTCTTCGCACTACACCAAAGAGGCCAAGATGGGTTAAGGGTTCTACGGTTCTCAGCTTCTCTGGCTTCCAGGTCAAAAGTAGTAACATCTTCCTGATTACTCGGTAAATGAATACTACAGTCAAAGGGGCTTCCACTGAGTGGGGGATTTCATGTCTCCTTCTTCGGGATTACTCCCTCAAAGTTAACATGACTATTCCGCCCGTCCTATTCTTAAGTGTAACTTAGTCCGGGTATAGGACTTGTCCTTTGTAAATATCACCAACACCCAAATAACCATAATATATAACATATAATCAAACAAATGAATAATAATAAAAACAGATATGACAAACTAGGCTTAATCCACTTAGGGATGGACCAGCAAGAGGTCAATCTTTCACCAGCAGAGTCGCCAATTCTGTTGCGATAAAAAATGTAGCGGTGTAAATCGAAAATTGAGCTATTAATTAACTTGACTCACAAAAGCAAGATTCATCACCGTGTTTTATTACTTCCAAGGGAAAAGAGCGAAATAAAACCCTTAAATATGCAATGTAAAATAATACTTAAAAGTAATGCAAATATAATGCGTTTTTGAAAGAGATCAAAGGTTTAGGGGTGGGTTATACAATTAGAAAGTATCAACACCCAATGCATCTGCGGTACTTCACACGAACCTTTTGAAATATATATTTGTTTGGTAAAAAATGGTTTGTTTGGTTAAAATGGGTATGGACGAGATTTTGAAGATACGACGACCTAGTGTCAAAGTTTTGACTTAAAAGGTGTGAGTTTTAAAATCGAGTCTTTTTAGGAATCTTAAGATTAACAAAAATAGTAAAACAAAAAATGAATGAATGGATTCGCACAATCGTATAAGATGTATTTGATGACATGAATTCAACAAAGGTAAAACATTTCCCTTGGAATTTAGACGAACAGAAGATATAAAGATTAAACGACCGAGAATAAAGTTAATTAGAGTGACAATTGAATAATAACAAATATTCAATAAGAGATTAATTTATAAGAATGTATTTTTAAACAATTAAATAAACAAATAAATTAAATAAAGAGTAAATTATAATAGCATGTATTTTTAAACAATTAAATAAATAACAAAAAATTGAATAAAGACTAAATTATAATAGCATGTATTTTTAAACAATTAAATAAATAACAAAAATTAAGTAGAAGATTAATTTAATAGCGTGTTTTTTTTATATTTTATAATGGAAAGAAGTAGTTATATGTATAAAATAAACTAAAACTAATATTTTGTTATCATATAATTGGGAAATAAGGCTAAAAGAATAAAAAAAATAAAATAAAATACCCCAGCCAGGGGTTAAACTCGTGTCCCTTAGGTTGCAGCATAGATGCCTTGCCATTAAGCTATGATATTTATCTGTTATTACAATGTTTTAATTAAAACAAATGATGAATATTGATAATGATTGGGCCAACAGGCCCAATGGGGCTGACCCGGTTTGGAAAAAACAAAAGAAAAGTTTTGAAAACCCTAAGACAAGGAAAGGCGCCGCATGTTATTTTATGGGGAAGGTACATTAACATATTTAATTATTATTATTACCAAACAACTGAAAGGGAAATTTGAAACAAAACAAAACAATTATCTCTCTCTCTAACGGATTATCACCATCATCTTCCTCTTTCCCTTTCCTCTCTAACTCAATTCTCCGAGCTTCTCTCTCCATTACCTTAATTTCCTCTATTTTCTTTTCCATATTTTGATCCTCCACAAATTTCTACTGCTCTTTTCCTTTTCGATCTACGAATTCCGTCCATGTGAGTGTCCTCATCATCACTGTTATCGGTGCTGCAACCAGGATCACCAGAGGCACTGGAGCTTGAATATCCTTTCTCACCACGGGAAGAACTATCTTCAGTTAAATTATATTCTGAATCAGTATCGTTAGCAAACATTCAATTTCTGGCACCCAGTCCAAAGCATCAATAAACTTTGGTAACAGATCTATAAGCATGTCCAAATCAGCCAATGGAAACATATAATACTCTGGGTCCATACTAAAATCGGGGCTAACAACAAGCTTTAGCGATGATTATTTCCACTTAATGCCTAAAGCTCCTAGTCGTCTCTTTTGAAATTCACTCTGAAAAGGTTCTGGGTATGGTTTCATTACTGAATCACAAAGTGACTCTTGCATGTTATGTCGAGATATAGAATGAGCCGAGTTTCCATGTGTGTCTTGAATAAGAGGGTGAAATAGGTAAACTGGTTGATGGAAGAGGGGTGGATTCGGGTGGTAGTATGGAGAGCAAAGGAAATCAGTGAGGAGACCGAAGAACACATGTTTTTTGGTGTTGTTTTGTGTAGAGGGAGACGGTACCGGAGGGAGGTTCTGTGTGGTGTCTGCTACAGATTGAAGGGCGATTGGAGGTAAGGAGAGATACTTATTACAATAGTGAAGGGTGAGAAAACACTTAGAGGGGGTGAATAAGTTTCTCCTTTTCTTTTTCTTAAAGGCTCAACAAAAATGGAAAGACACGGTTATTTTTATCCTGGTTCGTTTGAACTTAAACTACTCCAGTCCACCCGCCAAGGTGATTTTGCCTTTCTCAACAAGGACTTAATTCACTATAATCAAATAGATTACAATCACTCAACCAAATTGTTGTGACTAACAAATCAAAGCACAAGTAAACTTACAAGTGACTAACACCACTAAGACTCAAACTAGTCCTAGTCTTCTTGAGAAATCTGACCAAACTTGGTCTCTCAAGGAACAAATACAAGAATCAAATCTTTACAGATAGTGAAACAAATTGCTTCTTAGAAAGCTATATCACAAACTGTGATTTTTCACTAAGATTAGTTTTGCACAAAGTGTTTGTAAAATAATTTGTGAGCAGCAGAATATTTTCACGTAGTTGGGTAGTTGGCTTGCAATAAATGATCTTCTATTTATAGCATGAAGAAAATGACCGTTGTTGCCTTCAAAAGTGTGGAGCAATTAATGTTTGTGTGTTCGCTTGCAGTATTGCATTTTCCAATGAACTAGCGTTGACACTTGAGTGCATGTAGCCGTCTTTGCATTAAATGAACAAACGACACTTGTCAGAGCATGTTTCCTGAAACTTGACAAGACTTGTTAGCTTCTTTATTCTTTCAGAACTAGCTTCACATCTTGCTTCAGAATATGCTTGCAAATAACTTCTTATCAGTGCTTGCTTACTAAGTACTTCTGAACATAGTGTACATGGAAACTTGCTAAGTTTAGAAGATGCATAAAATAGTTTCTTATCAGATTCAGCATCAGAACTTGCGCTAAAACAAATAGTTCTTTCATCAAAGAACTTCTTCATTTATTTTCAGCTCAACACGTCAAAATGATTTTCATCTAGGAAAATACTTCAGTCAGAATATTATCTGAAACAAATAAATATGCTCATCAGAGTATCAATTATATAAAATATATTTTATTGTTAACATCAAAACTCTGAGATATGATCAGAACAAATCTTGTTCTAACAAGTAGTTGTCTAAAAATGCTCTTTGTGAATCAATGGTTGTCATATATGACTAATTTAAGGGTAGGGAATAACATGCTTCTTGCGATTGTTGAAAGTGATTATTGAGCTGCATTGTAAAACCCTGAGTAGGTGCAAATCTGTTATGTAAAGCAAAGGTGCTTCAGACATGGTGTGGCGGAGAGAGAGAGAGAGAGAGAGAGAGAGAGAGAGAGAGAGAGAGAGAGAGAGAGAGAGAGAGGGAGAGAGAGAGAGAGAGAGAGAGAGAGAGAGAGAGAGAGAGAGAAAGAGAGAGAGAGAGAGAGAGAGAGAGAGAGAGAGATAGAGAGAGAGAGAGAGAGAGAGAAGGAGGGACTGATGGTGTCCATGGGAAAGGTGAGTATTGTTTTTGAGCTTTGGAGAAGGTTGAATAAATATATAATTCTCTAATTTCTATTGTTTCTATTATATTCAATTCTGGTTTTTCTTGTGTTTATTATTATTATTTATTCCTAAACATGTTTAAATGTAACACATTACAGCAACTCAAAAAATACAGCAATGTGATAATTCAAGTGATCATATGGCATGAAAGTGGTGCAAAAAGAAGATTTCAACTGCTGCTGTTATGCACTCGAGGAAACGGATATTGATATATGTATGAGAAGAATTATGCAGTAACAAATAGGGAGAAGAAATACCTATAGGAGTCTCTCTGATGGAGCTTCTAAAAAACATTAAGTTCTCCCTTTGATGCTTAAGCTCCTTTCTACCCTGATTCTTGCTATTAAAACTTGAACAAACTTCCTATCTTTTCTGTTTTTCCTCTCCTTGAGTTTTTCTTGTGTAATTTTTCTGTCCATGAAGATGGCTTTTATAGTGAAAGAACAAAGCATTTAGGGGGGGAATAGTAGAACATTTGAACTATTTTGACAAATTATTTTGATGCCTTTTTTCATACAATTTTAAGTTGCCATTTTAATGCAATTTCTTGGCTGTTATGGTGCAGGGAAGCAGGCTCTTGCAGACTGGTCTAGGCTGATTTTTTAACAGTTTTACAGCAGTTTTTGGACTGTTACAAGCTACTATTTTTGGAATGGTTTATAGCTTTTTTTGTGCAGAATTTGGACTATTTTAGGTTGCTGTTTTGGACAGCAAAATACCACAAAAAATGGATTAATATTGTTGAAACAAGGCTGGAAAATATGGGCAGCATGTTTGAAGCATGAAGCTTTAGGACATTAGAATTTTAGTCTTGCTTTTTATGTACAAACTTGTAATTCCTCTTGTAACTTTGTAGTGATAATTCCAAATAAAATTGTAACATGAATGGAAAATTGTCTTGAATATAATTTCTCAATTCCTTTGTAATTGTAAACATTTTGAATCTTTATTTGTCTTGATGAGATTCAAAATCTTCCACTTGGATTTGGAAAAGAATTGATTGATACTTGAATGAATTTTTGAATGATGAATAAACAATGATGCAAGCCTTAAGACCTCAATATTGCATCTTGCCTTAGTGATCCAAATGAATTACATGAATTGATCTTGTAACCATCATGTATTTGTTCTTGTGATGAATGATTATTTGAATCAAGTTTCTTTTTCCAATATCTCCTTAGTAAATGCCGCATGTGAATTCAAATGGCCATGGTGTGAATCCATCAAAATAATCACACAAAAATAATCTTGAATAAATGCAATGTGAGGAATAATTTAAATTTTGAATGAGCCCTTTTTGATAACTTCTATTTAGTTAACACTTGAATTCACATGATGAAAATTCCAAGTATTCTAAATAAATTCTTCCAAAACAATCTTGAATTTAATCACCCCACTCTAACGAAATTCAACCCATGTCATGTAAGCATAAGAAAACGAACCATACTTAAAAGCTTTGAATGATCACTAGAATAGGTATTTGAGGCGAAATGTTATCGCATTGAGAAATTGGCACAATGAACTGAACTTAGAGATCCAGAAACTCTTAAATCATGACAAATGTCCCATTAAGTTCTCTCATGGCTTTCTAAACACAATTCGTATTCAAATTTTAAAGAAAACTTGCAGATAACTTTCAGTTGAAGTGTTTGGAATTGACTTGCATAGCCTGATCTTTTCTTGTATTTCAAGGAAAAGTGAAACACACGTGAACCAGTGATCATGGAACCTTAACTGTTTCTTTTTTTGAAGAATTTCGGAGATGCTTGAGACCACTTGTTGAACAGAGCATGGAAATAAACACACAATTATCTTGATGAATCAGTCTTCGAGAATCAATGATCAACTGTACTTCTGGCTTGAGAGACTCAAAACCCTAGTTGAGGTGTGACGGCTGATACTCTTGATTCATACCTGTTTCTGCACATGAAATCGAAGAAACAAAAAACATACACTTCGTGCTTGATTAGAAGTTAGTCATGCATAAGATAAAATGCTCAATACACTCGATAATCTATGCACAGGCAATGCTCGAAGATGAAACCTTCGAAACCGACCATAATTTTTGACCTTGATGTATATAACAAAAAATGCAAATGAAGATGGGATCTTAGGTCAAAAATTGGGGTATGACAAACATGACAACTATCTTTATAACCAGGCAAAGATTAACTCCCAAAACAGGACATGGAAACTATCTATATGACCAGGTGGTATGAATTCCCGAAACAGGACAGGTTTACCAACAAAAGCAGATTGTGGATCAATTCCCGAAACTGGACGGGGGGACTATATACATGATGAGCATTTACCTCAGAGACTAAATATGATAAGTATTTTCATAAGAGACTAAGTCTAACAAGAAACTACTTAAACACCTTCCCTAGAGGTTCATTCTGGAAAGCATTCCTCAGATAACGGTCGAGCGTAGACTCATTCTGATACTCCTATCAACAACTATTTTGATGGCATCTATAAGCCCATCTCTAATGAAATTCTGTCACCCCTCCGAATGGTATCTTTAAGCCAATTCAAGCAATATTATCAATTAACAATGTTACCTCCTACACGTGCGAGTGCAAATTTCTGGGCACTTAAGTGTTCAATCCTCTTCTACCTTCATATCACGAATGGCGGTTATGCCAATCTAACTCCTCGGATTTAAGAAGATTGAACAGGGGCAGCTGTTGTACCCCAAAATTTTCCCTCTCATTTTTCAAGTTATCTCCTCATTCTCCTAGGGCTTTCATTTGCTCAAGGGTACTCAAGAATTGATCAGACAAATTCTCCTTCAAAGCAATTTACCTACAACTAGGATTTCAGTTTTCCAAATGAAGTTTAAGTTTCTAATGCTTCAAGTGGTTTTCGTGGTCTCTTATATGTCTCCAAGAATGCTCATGCCAAGTTTCATGTCTTGCAGCACAAGTTTTCTCATTCAATGATTCAGATGACCAAAAATCAATTGTAGTGAACAAAAAGTCAATTGTTGTTAACATACAGTAAAACTTTAA